TAGCGATAGTGGTTAAGTGTATGTTCTCCATGTTTAATTAAGGATGGTGATCATACAAAGGATTTGGTCATGTCTGAAGATAGGGTTGAGGGGGCTCCAGAGAAGCCATGGGCTTCCCGACCTCCCACCCATGGGGTGGGGCTAGATTACCACGCTGGGTTTGTGTGAGCGGGCCAAGAGTATGAAGCCACAGGTCAAGCATATGGATGTCAGGAAACTTTGGGAAATGTATTTTGAAACAAAGTTGGGCCTCTGACAGACCATTCTGGCATTATTCCCCAGATTCCCCGGTTAAGTATGTGTTAACTTTCCATTTCTGTTGAGGGTATTGGTATAAAAGATTTGGGAAGTGTTACATAAGGTGGGCAGTTCTCCTCTGTCCTGTAGGGTCCCTATGAGTCAGAATCCATTCAGCAGCAACGGGTTTATACAACGTGAAGATCAAGGACTTTAGGGCTTTAAGACTGAGTTAACTTGGCTGGTATATTAGTTTCCTATTGCTGCCATAACAAATTAACCACAAACTTAGTGGCTTAAAACAATAGAACTTTATTCTCTAACAGTTCTGGAGACCAGAAGTCTACAGGGTCCCCCAGAGCTGCATTCCCTATGGAAGCTCTCGGGAGAATGCATTTCCTTACCTTAAATTCAGCCTCTAGTGGCTGTAGCACCTTCCTCCATCTTCAGAGCACATTACTTAACTCCAATCTCTGTTTCTGTCATCACATCTCTTCTTCTGTAGTCAAATTTTCCTGTCTCCCTCTTATAAGGACACTTGTGATTATATTTGGGCCTACCCAATAATCCAGGATAATCTCCCCACCTCAAAATCCTTAACTTTGTCGTATCTGCAGTCTCTTTGGCCATATGAGGTAACATTCACAGGTTCCAGGGATTAGCACCTGGATGTCTTTGGCACTATTATTCAGCTTACCACAGCTAGGCTCCCAGGCATTGAGCAACACCTTGGCAATCACTAATTAGGCTTAAACTCAGTGTTCTTATCTTTAAAATGAGGATATACCTGTCTTTCAGGGGGTTGTATTAAGTTCCTGGTCCCATTGTCAGAGACCTGGGGGGCAAAAGTAATGGACAACCAGCTCTCTTCAGTCTAGGCATTGGGAGTCTTAGACTTTGGCCCTCTTACACCTCGATATGATGTCAATGCACAAGACTTTCTACTCCTACTGACAGCTGCAATCAAAGGCCCAACAGCAGCAGTTACTGAAGTGTCTGTTAATCTGGGTGCCCAATCTAAACACTCTAACTCACGAGACAATTAAGTGCTAGCATTCTTTGGCTCAAGCAGAAGAGGAACCTGCAGCTTTGTTGAAAGTCCTCTGGCTCTGTAATAGTGGCTTCCTGGACACTGATCCTGAGCACTCAGTGGCCTGAAGGCA